TTGGAAAATCCTGAAAGATGGGCACTCCACACCCATCCTGAGCAAGTTACTCTAAATGTCATACTACCTTCCTAGTGCCCACTCTGCACCTCCCAAGCCCCAGTTTGTGCCATTGCCCCTCATTACACCACCTGTCCACAAAGATGACTTTGGCTTTAGCCACCTTCACAACTCCAAGTAGGCAGAGACTGCAACCATATTATCCCTTAGCCTCCTCTCTGCCAGACCCAAAAAGCCCAGCATGCTCTCCACCTCTCTCCCTGTCCCATACTCTAGGTCTCTAGACATCTTGGTAGCGGAAGTACTAAAACGATTTTTCCCCCTTTCAAACTTTAGGATTTATATACAATGCTACTAAGAAAAAGAATTTATTAAAAGCATGGCTTTCAACCTCGTATCTTCTGATCAAAGAGCAAAAGAGGTATAAAATGGAACAATTAAAAGCAAAAGCAAATGTGTTTAAGAGAGTCGATTTTGCCAGTATCCTGTCTCCATCACTAAACCTTTATGTTCTTGGTCCCGGTGTACTCCTCTTTATCAGTTCTGGAATGAAATCACAATCCTTCACTTAGAATACCAGTCTGCTGCTGAAAAGCAATTTAAATAACAGAAATGCAGTTTATGACTTTGGTACTTTCCACGTTTTCCTGTCTTGTCAGCTCAGAGTGACTATAACAATTTGGTAAGAGAAATGCAGCAGAAAAATTAAGTTCTAATTTCTGGGTTTTTTTCTTTAATAACTTAGGACATTGTTATAAAATTGTACTATGAAAACAAGAATTCCCCCATTAACTTACAGAGTACAAAGTCAATGACATAACTTTCTAAAAGTATTGTAACTAACTTCCCAAAACTAACCTAAATGGGAGACATTAAGTAAAGAAACATACTTGGCTGAAATTTACAGATTCAAGATGACTAACAAACCACTGAGTTACAAAAGAAGACTTCCAAGTTGCCAAATCATAACACTTCTGAGATGAGATTTAACTCTACCAAGAGACGTGGAACTTTAAAATCAAGCTAAATATATACATTAAGGTCTGAAAAAATACAGATTCAATATCTTGAGAACTCAAAAAACATACTGTATCTCTTTCTAAAAAGAAAGTTAATGACTACAGTTTCATTTGATACTTGTAGTCCATGTACATACAACACAAGTTAAAGACTTTCTGCACTTTTTTCTTGTAATGTCAGACATACAGTTGCAAGTATGTATTAAATTAAAATAACTGTCAGTGTCAAAGGGAAGTTGATACACAACAATAAAAGTGAAAAAGATTTGTCCTGAAATCTCTCCCATGAAAAAACATTCCTATACGAAATAAGACAGTCTTCTCAGATGTGCCATTCTTCTTCTCTTTCACCTGATCAGCACTTAGAGAAGCAAAGTTTATCTTAGATTCCCTGATATAAATCTAACAATAGTATTTCCTAACTTCCTAGTATTTCTTGCTCTGGTGTTTGCTACAACATGGCTTACTGAATACACCAGTGCAAGCACTGGCCTTCAAGTACTTCAGTACTTCATTTTTTCATCTACTACTCTCTAAAATTTAAAAAATAACTATTTTACATTATGATAACAAACATGTCAAAAAATACATGTTCTGATTATAAACTACATGTATATATAAGCACTTATTTCTTCAAGTGTTTGAAAAATCCAAAGATGCCAAATGTTGCATTTAGCACTCTATCATTTTAAAACTATCAAACCCAAGAATTACCCTAGTAATATAATTAAACACAAGTTTTTCAGGCAGTTATATTTGCTTTATTTTAAAAAAGACTACTGTAAAATACTTACAGCTTGGTTCCTTTTAACTGAAGCAATGCAGATCAGACATGTCATAGCCCCTGACTGAAAAGCTTCATTCATGTACTGTCTTGTACGTTCCAGTTCACTTGCATCTCCATCTTTAATGTACAAAGATTTTAAAACAATCAGTAATGTTTGATCTGCTATTCTGTACGTGTTGAGACTAATGTAAAAGTAGATGTATTTTTTTCTCTGAACCGAGGCCAACCATATATTATTAGAAAACCACATTATTAGAATTACATAGGACAGTTTCAAAACTATACCACTGATTCGGCATAAAAACACAAGAAGTACTGGCAGCATACACTATTTGGAACAAATATTTTTAGTACAAGACATCAGAATAAAGAGTTTTCCCTCCAATTATGGAAAAATTCTAATACACAGCCAATACAGCATTGTTTAAGCTTTCATAGCAAAATAAAAGTCAATAAATGAAAAAAGTTTACCAGTTTGACTGGTGTAAATGGTAAATGTTTTGGCCAAAATCTTTCCTTGTTTTACTTCAGCATCTTCATCATCATCTTCAGATGAGGAGCTAAATTGTTCTTCAACTAGCTTTTTTGCTGCAGCCTGATTAGCTTTCTTAATTTCATCAAATTTCTTCTGTGAAGATAATTCTATTAAGAGAACAAATTAATAATGATTAATACCATGATAATCATAATACCATATTCAGTTCTACACACTTAGAACCATTCTTTGCTTTAAAGAGCTTGATGATTTTATGTTTTTAAGAGCAGCATGTTGCTACATTTTCAATACCACACAAGAAGAGATAAACTGTATTTTCCTCTTTCTGTGGAGGACTTCAGGGTGTTGGTTGACAAGAAGCTCAACATGACACAGCAATGTGCACTTGCAGTCTAGAAAGCCAACAGCATCCTGGGCTGTATCAAAAGGAGTATGGCCAGCAGGCTGAGGGAGGTGATTCTCCCCCTCTACTCTGCTCTTGTGAGACCCCACCTGCAGCACTGTGTCCAGCTCTGGAGCCCCCAGCATAAGAAAGACATGGACCTGATCAAGCAGATCCAGAGGAGGGCCACAAAGATGATCACAGGGCTGGCAATAAGACAAGAGGTAGCGTGCTCAAACTGAAAGAGCATAGGTTTAGATTAGATATAAGGAAGAAATTATTTACTGTGAGGGTGGTGAGACACTGGCACAGGTTGCCCAGAGAAGCTGTGGCTGCCCCCTCCCTGGCAGTGTTCAAGGCCAGGTTGGATGGGGCTTTGAGCAACCCGGTCTAGTGGAAGGTGTCCCTGCCCATGGGAGAGGGTTTGGAACTAGATGATCTTAAAAGTCACTTCCAACCCAAACTATTCTATGATTCTTTATTGTGCATTATCTGTAAAATCCACAGAAAGAATTACTGTCAATTACTGCTGAAATCCAACCAAACATACTAAATATACCCATCTACAATGCTGCTTTATGAAAAGGATACTGAAAAAAAAACTCACACACATCCCACACAAACACAACTTTCATAGCATGAAGAAAAACCTAAAAACCAAAACAGTCAATACTTGATAAAAACAGTTATTATAATTTGCTGATACCCTACAGGTACCTCTCCCAGAATTTGGTATTTTTAAAATTATTACTTTTACTGATCTCCCTCCATCCAACAAGTTTTTATTGCAATAGTGGGTTCATGCTATATCACAGCTGGCAGCATTAAAAGTGACAGGGTATTTTAATATAAGCTGTTTTTAAAGTTACTGAATATGAAAGAGGAAGATTCTCACATGGAGAAAAATTATGTAACAACATAATAATAAACCAAAGTGTCTCTAACATAATATACCACAGAGATATAAGGGTCTTCAGCAGATCACAGGTCTTAAATACCTCCTAGTTTTCCATATTAGACTGTTGCATCCAATACATTTACTGGGGTTTGGTCAAATTTAGTTTTAGAGCTTTCCATAAGAAACTACGCTGTCACTTAAAAGAGTATTTGGCACTTCTGAACCTGCAAAGTATTTCAAGTGTATTAACTCGCACTCACTGCAACCCCGTGCACTGTGAAGCCCGCACGCTTCCCAGACCGGGGCAATGTGGCACACCGGCCAGAGCACCTAAAGGCGGTCCCTAGCGGGCAGCACTCTCCTGAGTACTTCCAACCGTACTGAAAAACAGCTGCTTCATCCATTATTTCATACTTCTCTGCTCTAAGGGCACTGACTGTGCCCCCTGTGGAAAGCACAGCCCCCGAGCCCCCAGCCCCCGCCGAGGCCCCTGCGTTTACCCCTAGGAGGTACCTGCAGGCAGGAGACGGTGAAACACCGTCTCGCTACCGCCCAGCAGCGAGGGAGCGGCGCCGGGGCGCGCCGGCCACACAAACGCCCCCCACCTTCCTTCCTCCCCGAGGACGCCGGGGAGAGCCCCGACCTGGGGGCTTGTAGGGGCTCCCCAAGGCCCAGC